ATGATACCGGAGCTCCCGTAATGCTCGAAACGGCTTGCTGAGTAGGGCAGGCGCTTGAGGACGCTCGAAATCCCCAAAGAGGGTCCGATGACGTTACCGGATATGAGTAGAGAGCGCTAGGAGGCTTAGATAGTCGGTGCCTAGCAACCAGGCTTCTGGAACACGCGTAGTTTCCCCCCCTGGTCCTACTGTCTAGGTGCTCTGGAGACCACCTAATTTCTCTCGGATGTAGCAGGGGAGAATCCTGTGGCGCGGTTGTGCGGTTAGCAGATGCTATCGTATGGACAACCGATTTATAAAATAAGTTGTCCGATCGGTCTCTGCCCCAGGTACGCGGTCTTTACTGCTAGATAACTTGCTATGGCGTCTATGAGTACAGTCTCATTAAAAAAAATTGGGGCTTCGTCCACCCTGACGGACCAAAAAGAAAACTTGACACCACCAACAACGGCACAAATCGGATCTAAAAAATCAGCTAGCCTCAACTTAAATCAGTTTTATGAAATTTTGAACCATTGTAGTAAAGATAATTTGGATCCAGTTTCAAAAGTTTGCGAGATTATGGATGTGAGTGAATGCGAAGAGAATATAAATTGTATTGAGGCGCTCATCCACCTGCACACTGTGAAAACTAAAACTAAAATGGAATCGTGGCGTAAACAAAATTCAAAAAACCGTGAAAATATGTTTTCGAAAATTGTTCTCGAAATAAAAGATTTAACACAGCGACCAAAAACACCTAAAAGACCTGCCAGAGATTTCAGTGAAGTTGGAACTAGGCAAAAAAGGCGAAAACTAACTGATTTAAATGAACAACTTGACGAATTTGCGGAATCAAACGGTATTTCAGTAAATCAAGTGATTGGCTACTTATTATATCAGCGAAATTATAATTCTAACAAAAAGTTAGCTGATTTAGGAAAAGAATTATATGAAAGTAGTGATATTAGCTCAGCCAAAAATGAACTTGATTTAAACGCAACTTTAGCATTAAAAACTCATTTAGAAATATCAAGAAACCAACTCGATTTTTTAAAAATGTTTTGCAGCCCATATATGAACATTCCTAACAGAGAGTACATCAGACAACATTCGAATACACTACTACCAGTACTTGACCGTTGGTCCACCGGGCCAGATAGAAGAGAAACCGGAATTTTTATAGCCAATCGGGAAGAAGTAATTATATTAACCATAAAACGTTTGATTGAAATGCTTCAAAAACAAAATATTACTGTTCCAAACAAATTACAATACCGAGAAAAGTCAGGACACGATGGGGCCGGTAGTATGACAATGTACAGAAGTGTTAATTCTCCTATGGAATCCGCTAATATTTTCAGTAAAATGTTTAGTCCATTGAGTTTAAAGAGCGATAAAGATGTAGTATTATGGAGCAATCCAAGCCCAAATTCTTCCCACTATTGCCGCCCATTAGCCTTAATCGCTGAAAAAGAGAGTAAAGAGCTTTTGCGTTCTGTTAACGAAAGATTTGAACCACCTGAAAAAAGGCTAAGTGAGCAAGGAGTGGATTTTGAATTTAACGGCACGAATTATCAAGTCAGTATAAAAACCGAAGCATCGATGAAAGATCTTAAAATTCGGACTCTAGAATCAGGCCTCGGCGGAGCGGAATGTTTGTTATGTAGTACGCGTTCAGAAGATTGGAAAAACCTAGGAAAACTGAAAAAGTTTGACTCATTTTCAATCGATAGAACCGCTGAAAAAACACTGGAACTTTATAAACAGATGGTAGATGCCGACGGTAGTGTCCCTCGTGAGAAAAACGACTATTCAGTTAGAGGAGGCCTTACTAACCAGCCACTTTCCATCAATGACAACCACTTTATCACTGTAACACATGAATACATTAACGGAACGCATTGGGTACTGAAAATTCTTTATCATTTACGCGCGGGCGTTCTGAAGTGGAGTGAAAGAGGTTTTAAAGAAAAAATAAAAGATGCTAAATTATCAGTTTTGAATGAAATCGAAAAA